TATATATATATATATATATATATATATATATATATATATATATATATATATATATGTGTCAACAAATATATGTATTAAACAAAAAAATTTACAAGTGACAAAGACATTAATATTTGTGTCTGCGTGTGAAAAGAGAGAAAGAATATCTTCCAAGAAAGTAAGAAATAATGAAAGGAAGAAAGGATATCTTGCAGGATATAAATAAATAAATAAATAAATAAATATAGAAAGAAAAAAGAATATCTATATCAGGATATATAGAAAGAAAGAAAAGAAAATAAAAGAAAAAGAAAGAAAAAAGGAAGAATATCTTACAATATATAAACTGGCCCGGGATGGTAGCACCTGTTAGGGTCCCAGCTATTGGAAAATTGTTAACCCCCCCCAAACTGGGGTCAAAACCCTCTGAAAGCGTAAAAATAGGTTCTAATACCAGCAATACGTTTTTGTAAAACATTATTACTGGCAATGAATTTTTGACGGAAAAAAAATTATTACCAGCAATACTTTTTTGGAAAAATATTACCAGCAAAACATTTTTGGAAAAAATATTACCAGCAAGAAAAATCTTGTCGGCATTAAATAACCCATTGAGGGTGATATGCCGTAAAACAAACCAAACCAAACCACTTCATCTTAATCAGGTTACATATCTCATTCACTACCACACAACCTTAAATTGCACTGAAGACTTATATTGGCTGAATTCAACCGAAGATGTAAAGAAAACAACCAAGACCGATATATATATATGTCAAGAAATTTATGTATTGAACAACAAATTTACAAGTGACAAAGTCATTAATATTTGTGTCTGTGTGTGAACGTAAAGAGTTTGTTCTTTGGTGAATATTCGTACATACGTGTATGTGTGTTTAATGGCGTTTAAATGAGTGGGCGAAATCGCTGATCTCTACGAGAGATCACATTTTTAAATGTGTGCGTTGAAATGCAAAATAGAAAAGAGAATGAGGCAAGAAGTCGCCTAGCATTTATAGTGTAGGGAGAGCGTCCCCTAGTGAACAATAAGTGAATTAAGGAGGAGCTAACTCCGACACTGCAACCACAGAACTGAATCACACTAAATGTTCACTATATTCAAATTATGGAAATAAATCTCCTCAAACCCGATACTTTATGGAACCGATATCCGAGTTTGAGTACAAATTCATGAGATAATCCTTCTATTGCAAACATAAAACCAACGAAAATGTGCGGAAAATGGTTGAAAGTTGTGTGGTCCACCATCAATCTCTTCTCGCCACTGTCAAACGGAGAAAAATGGCGTGGTTCGGACATGTTACAAGGTACAACAGCCTTTACGAGGATTTAAAATCATTCAAGGTACCGCTGAAGGTGGACTTAGGAGATGACGCTAACGCAAAAGCTAGTTGGACAATGTCGAACTAGTATAACTATACCAGAATAGTTGATGGTTGCTGTTGATACACCGTTGTGCAGGAGATTCAATATGGCTTCTGCATTCGCATCATCCCCACCTACAAAAAACAAGAGGATGATGACGATATCCTCGTAGATATTTCCGATTAAACATTTCAAGAGTCAATATTTATCCTGACCACTTCACCTTGCGCCCTGGGTAAGACGATAAACTGCATCCGTATCCTGGGTATGACGATAAACTACATCCGCGTCCTAGGTAAGACGATAAACTACATCTGCATCCTGGGTATGACGATAAACTACATCCGACAGCAAGGCCTCTGTTCAGGAGTTTTTGAGGAGCGTGGAATCACCTCTTAATTGCTGGTGTTCCCAGGTCCATCCTGACCCGGAATGGTAGCACCTGTTATGGTCCCAGCTATAGGCAAATAGGTAAACCCCCCCCCAAACTAGGGTCAAACCCCTATGAAAGTGTAAAAATTAGGTTCTAATACCAGCAATTCTTTTTTGAAAAATATTATTACAAGCAATGAATTTTTGATGGAAAAAATTATTACCAACAATACTTTTTAAAAAAAATTATTACCAGTAATACATTTTTTGAAAAAATATTACCAGCAAGAAAAATCTTGTCGGTATTAAATATCTCATTAAGGGTGATATGCCATAAAACAAACTAAACCAAACCAAACCAAACCACTTTATCTAAATCAGATCACAAATCTCATTCACTACCACACAAACTTAAATGGCACTGAAGACTTATATTGTCTGAAATCTAGATTAAAAAGTCGTTAATAATTACATATTGCTTATAATGTTATTATATTCTTTGCTATTTGAACCGCCATATTCATCTTTGTTGTTAAACTCATTGGACTAGCTGAAGAAGCATTCCAAAAATTAACCTTCCTTAACTTTTGCTGAGTAACGGAAAAAAAATTAGTTAAAAAAAAAGAAATAAGTATTAAATTGCTATGTGGTATGCATCCTCTTATCTGTTAGTCAATGAAGGACAATCCACTCACGGATTAGAAAAAAACTAAATGCAGTAAAAATGTGTTTCTACAAAAGGATGTTGAAATTTCAATGGACGGAGAGTAAGCAATAAGGAAGTCTTAAATATAATGGCAACAGAAATAAAACTAATAAAAAACAGGTAAAGGCAGTGAAAATTCCTTGTTTTACTTTTAATGCATCTTCAAGGGGAAGTAGTACAAGCTGCTTTGTCAAATAATTCTGAATGTTTCCTTATATGGAAATAGCTAATAGTATCTTTACTAATCATCCATCAGATCAACGTGTAGTGGATCATAGTCATTGTGACGTCCACAATCCGTTCGGTATTTCTATAGTATCTACTTCGTCGGGGTTACATATAGTTGGATTTCAGATTTGACGTTTTCCTAGACCAGTGTCCAACCACGGCTGAGAATCGTAGTCTGCTCTAGTATTTAACTCTAAGCAGATTGATCGAAGTGATGGATACATTCCGAAGGGTATCGATGCGAAAGTGATTATAACAAAACTCATTGATTTCTCGTTCCGAATTAGAATCCATTCCGCCACCCACGCTAGCAGAAGTTTCGGTTATTTCTTTCCCTAGTCTTCATCATCCTCCTCATCATCATCATTCGATTACTGTCGGGTTCATGGAACCAATGAAAACGATCATTTATCCTTGCCTTAGCTGTATAGTATGTGCTACGCCAGGGCTACATACAGCTATGAATTCAAAGTTACTTTCTTCTAGACCGGTTGACAACTAAGGCTATAGAAACCAAGTCTGTCCTGCTATTCAATCATACCTGGGAGGGGGAGAAGAAGAGGATTCACGCTTTTCCCAAGGGTATTAGTTCGTAAGTGAATGTAATGGATCCGACTAGAATTCGAACTCGTTTCTCCGATTCCTCAATCCGAGCCACTATCCATTACTCCTTTTCTTTATATACTTTTTTATATTAACTGTAATGAAAAGCTAATTTTTTCCACTAAAAAATAGTCAGTCATTTATGTGCCATGCGTGATACACGCTTAGGCGATCATGTATCTTTCGATACATGACTGATGAGGCAGATTTTTTTCCCGCAATATGTTGCCATTTCTTTCTGCGGTAGACCCGTTTATAGAACCCGGACTGTCCTGCTATTTACTCTTAGCTGGGGGAGAAGAAGATGATCCGTACCTTTTCCAAGGGTATTAGCACGTAAGTGAATGTAATGGATCTAACTATAATTCGAACTCGGCTCTCAGATTCCTCAATCCGAGCTGCTACCCATTACAGCCTCCTTAAATTTCTAGTTGTTAAAGTAAACATCGCTTTTGCCCGATACAGTCCTGAAAGACGGGACATGTCACGCAAATTCTTTTACCACTAAAATTTTTCTTGATATATAAAAATTTCGATATCGCAGTAGTTCTCACAGTGAGGCGTAAATAGATTTTTAAGGGGAACAATTCAAAAATTAGTTATTAACAATGAATTTTTTTCTAGTGAGTCTGTGAGTATGAATATATGTGCGAGTTAATATACACGGTGCATATACAGTATGCATACATAAAATATTTGTGTGTATGTATGTACATTTATAATTACGTATGCACTGTTTATAGCATCTCGCTAGACATGGCCATACACATACTTGCACAAGCCTCACATCTGGTAGGCTTGCATTTTATTTTGGTAACTATTAATATTGATTGGTTTCTTTTATTAATACCCGTAGAAGAAAAATGGTTTGCTTTGAAAGACAAATAGCATTGAAGAACATTTTCCAACCTTTCATCGTATTTCTTCTTTAGAATCCTAAGAAATGAAATCGATTATGTTTGTCTTTAACTCAAAAATAATTGCTATCAGACACTCAATGCACGTATGCGATATCATAGAAAATGAGGAGAATAATAAAAATAACAGGTTTTAAAATTGAAAACACGAATGACGAAAATAAAAATGAACATTCTTTACTGATACATTTCATATGATTCTATTTGAGATGATATCTAATGCAGAGCGGGTTTGATTACGTATTGTTTCGCTAAACAAAGAAATTTAGCATCGATACTAACGAATGATTATTATATAAGCGAGTCATTACGTTTTTTTTTTTTTCCTGACAGTTTAACTGTACTGATGTCTGACACGGAAAGAAAAGAGTAGGGTCTCCTGGAGGAGGTAGAAAAGCACCTAACAGAAAGAACTAACAATTATAGCTGATCTGTTTTGAAGATTTGGCACACGTTTGTTGGTTATTTGAAACCGAAACATATTTGGGATTGTAAGAATAATACCTTTTTTTTCTGGTCAGTATTATCAACCATTTTTTGATTGATTCTTATTCGTTTTCTGCTCCTTATCATTCTTATACAGATTATTTCAAGTTCGAAAATATTCATTATATTGTATGTCTTATTTTTTTTTATTTAGGTAATAATGGTTTAATTTTATAAGTCTTACTAATTAACCCATAGCTGGTGAGAGAAGGTTTGGATTCATACCTCGTATAAATAAATATAACGCTGCCAACGGGAATAAGAACTTGGCTCTCCGATTAACAATTCAGAGTCATTATCTAATACACCACCGCATATCCAAGCTTACAGCTCCTGGTATTCCCAAACGGTCACCCATCTAGATACTAACCACGTTCAACGTTGCTTAACATCGGTACCCGTACGAGGACCGGTGTTGCAACCGGTTATAGCCGTAAGCGTAAAATGTTTTGGGAACAGAACTAATTTTTGCAAATACAATTCCTACTGCATATCTGGGGAGTAGGGAGAGACGCGTTCATGCCTTTCCCGACGGTATTTGCGCGTAAGTGAATATAACGAAATCGTTTGGAATTTTTACTCTATTACCAATGAAATGTAAGACGACAGAATATAAGGTTCTTAACTAGACCGACAGGCCACAATGAGAATTTCGAATGGGAGACGTCATAATCAGGCAAATTGATGGCTTCAACAGGCGACAGAAAATGTAGCAGAGAAAAACGAAGATGCATTTTATTAGCAAAATATGCCTTCAGAAAGCTAAACAAAATATTAAGAAACCGAAGTCTTTCGTTAGAAACAAAGAAAAGTTTGCTGAACTATGAAATACCATTCCACCTGTTGAGGTTGGACAATGTCCTCACCGATGAAGACGAGACTTGAGCTAAGAAAGATGTCGTTCAAGAGGAACTCTGAGAATGTCATGGAGGGAAAATGTGATCAAGGAAGAAATTTTAAAGAATAAGGATAAAAAAATACATTTGTGCAAAGAATCAGAAAGTGAATTCTCTGATACATAATGAGGAAAGAGGGCTTAGACAATTCGACACTCACATGGTATATAGTCAAAAAGTAACAATGAGTAAGCTACTTAACAAGCTCTTAGTTATGCATGTTAGAGCATGTTGTTTTGATTGAATTTTTTTTTTTTTTTGCGGCTCATCAATACTTTGTGGGCCATTTAAAGGCGAAACGTATGTTAGACTGTTGCAAAGAGAATGCTGCCTTAATAAGTTTTTGGAAAGATCAACAATTTATTTCAAGGAAAAAATTCTACTATTTAACCTGTAACTGATGGAAGTGGATTAATTTAAGAGTTTTCCAAAGGGCATTTCTTCCGAGGGGAATTCGAAATTGGTACTCCAGTTTCTCGTTCTGAACCGTTATATTTACACCAGATGCACATTTGATAGAACAAGTACACGGAGAAGGAATAAGTGGATAGACACTGCAAAAGTGAGATAAAGGCCAGACAATTCTGTAGAGCTTTGATCGCCCACACTCTGAAGACACAGCGGATAATATGCGATAACAACTCTAATTAACCTTCCGTAAGCGGGTATTTCAACAAGTATATATGCTATTGTCGATGGTGTGATTGTCTGGACAATATATCTGTAAACAAATCAGGAGACTCATAATGTAATTGCGTACTGTCTGTTAAGATTTACTGAAAAGGAACTGTCACAATGACATCCGGTCCAATGTCATAAGTGTGAGTAGTCGAAGAGATATTTGCATCGCACAAAGAGAGTGAAATTAGACATCAATGTTTTAAAGATAGAAAGTAATATCAGAGAGAATATTTTTCAGTTTGCCTTTAAACCGAGAAATTTATGAATTTCCAATGAATGAGACGATGTACTTTCTTTTTTATTTAAGTCGACTAATCGTCTGACAAGACTATATTGCTGAATTCTCCAGCCGTTGTTTATTATTCAAGACATCATCCGCTCGATTCCTTTTCATTCGTTGATTTTCAAAGGTTCAAATATGGTGTTTATTATTACTGGAGGTCAAATGACAGCAAGTATATTTTTTTTTATTCTAATACAAGAAGTGTCGTGGCTGTGTTGAACAAAAAACACGTCTTACATCCAAGGTAAAATCCTTAAAGGCATACACGATCAATTTCTTTAACATCCTAGAATCATGCTGCTTACACGTCAGAAGCTAATATATATATATATATATATATATATATATATATATATATATATATATATATAATTATTTATTTAAAAATTATAACATATATATTTAATTATATATATATATATATATATATATATATATATATATATATATATATATCATAATAAGAAGCCACATATACTTTCTTAATATGTATATAAAGAAAAAGTTGCAAATTAAAAAATAATAATGTACATTTTGAAAGTATTTATTTATTTGTATATATATTTGATATTTCAGATTGGCCTCAATCTTTCTTGAGAAATAACTCATTATACTAGTTATTCTGAAGAAAGATTGAGGCTAATCTGAAATATCAAATATATATATACAAATAAATAAATAAATACTTTATAAAATTACATTATTATTTTTTATTTTTTAATTTGCAACTTTTTCTATATATATATATATATTTATAGTCCGGAAATGCTTACACACACACATACATATATATATATATATATATATATATATATATATATATATATATATATATATATATATATATATATATATATATATATATATAGATTCTTCCTCTTGAATTTTTATTCAAAAAATATACATGTATGGGTATTTATATATTTTGCATATGTATGTATATTTACCACTAATATATATATATATATATATATATATATATATATAACTCGTTTATAAAATACTCTGATAATTATGCACTAAATATATATATATATATATATATATATATATATATATATATTACAAGTTTTTATTTATAATATATATATATATATATATATATATATATATATATATATATATATATATATATATATATATATATATATATATATATATATATATATAGGGTTGGTGCATAATTATCAGACGTTTTTGTAGAAATCCTAATATGTTATTTGTTAAAGAGAATTGCTGTTTTGTTTACTTTTTTAATAAAAATATTATTTTATATTTGGTCATAAAAATGTGTGTCGATAATCATACGTTCCTGAATAACCATGTAAAAATGTTATAGATGAATTATTGTGATTCTTTTTTCATAATGAATAATTTTAAAAATAATTATGATAATTATGCACCAATCCAATATATGTATGTGTGTGTTTGTGTGTGTGTGTGCGTGCGTGCGTTCCTGTGTGTGTGAATCTTTATTTATTCATCCGACATATTAGTTAAACGTTTCAGCAAGATGTTCTGCCTGGCAGAGAGTTGAAGTCCCGTCAGATCTAATGATGGTTTCCTTAGTGAACGCAGGTTCGAATCCTGGTAGTATTGTATATCTTTCTAACAAGATTTCTCGAATATTCAGGCGGGTTCAAGGAAATAAATATATATGACATTTAATGAATAAATAATATCAGATCAGACGATGGTGAATTGGTATTGCTTTTATGTCCATCGTCTCTTTCATGTTGAATTGTATATGGTCTATGCTAATTATGTTTTATGAATATGTCCTGAAGATGGTCTATTAGACCGAAACGTTCGACCTTGACATTAAACATTAAAACAGCATAATCGCATATTAGGATTTTTGTTTGTTTTTTTTATTTTTCTTCTTATACACACACACACACACACACACACATATATATATATATATATATATATATATATATATATATATATATATATATATATATATATATATATCATAAAAATATAGTTCTAATATATGCTATTTATGAGTTAAAGTCCTCAATATCAGGGATAGCGTATATGTAAATATAAAAGTGGACATTGAAACAAAACCTAGCGGCCATAGTAAGATTGTGTTCAAGATAAGAATGGTATGCCTCTACATGTGTGCATCAGATTTCTAGTTAGTACTTACTGGAGTTGGTGGTGTCGATACGTGTTTTGACTGTTTATTGTACGTTAATAATGTTGGTGAGAATTATATGTTTGTGGAAAAACTCAGTGAATCGGAAATTTTGGTGGTTTGTGTGTATGTGTGTGGAGTGTTTATTGTTTTACTTCTATTACATATTAGTGTTATTATTGTTGTTTTTGTTGTTGTTTGTGTTGTTGTTGTTCGTGGTGGTGGTGGTGGTGGCGATGGCATCAGATTCGGATGCGGCATGTGGATATTACTTGGTTCCCGTGAAGTCCACAAAATCGGCAGAGCCGACAGGGACTGATCAGTTTTGTAATTGATTCCCACATTACGAATCGACCATGAGTCATTTGGCGTAGGAAGTGATTTCCACAAAAATTCTGATGACGATTAATTAAATGCGAAATATGTTCAATTCGTAAACATTTTCAATACGTACCTTATTCTGTCACTCGCACTTTCTCTCTCCCTCTCTCTCTCTCTCTCTCTCACACACACACACACACACATATATATATATATATATATATATATATCTTTATGATTTTGTGGATGGGTAGTGGAAGCTTAACTTTGGATTTATTGTGGAGTGTGTCATCTGAATGCGCTGTAATGGTTGTGCGTAGCAATGGAGTTAGATTTTAGTGATGGCTCTAGCAAAATTGTGAGGTGCACTGTTAATTCTGGACACGATGGTATGTGGGGTTTGTGTGTCTTGGGTAAGCCATACAGTGTGGATATATTTGGATATTTATCTATTAATCTAGGGCAAGATATTTTTTTCTTTTTTTTTTAATAGATTATTGGTTGTTTAAGCGCATGTGTTTCAATGTTTATGGTAAGTTCATTGGTTTTAGTGTAGGTGTTGTCATTAGCGAGGAGGAATTCTAATATTTCAATGTAGATGTTGGTGTCCATAATAACTATACCGCCTCCTTTGTCGGAAGGGTTTATAATGATGTTTTTGTTCATGGACAGTTTTTTTTTTCTATCAGTACATTATAATTGTTTTTGTAAAGGTTGATTTAGCTGTTTCCTTTATATATATATATATATATATATATATATATATATATATATATATATATATATATGGTCGACTCTCCCTTCGAATTCGACGTATGAGGGTCAAGCAGATCAGTTCCTAGGAAACCGACAGCCCGACAACGACACATGAGATTTGATTATAGTGGTGAAGGCTTCGTGCAGAACCATCCACACTTTTGAAGGGACGAATACAGAGACCTGGTGCACTAAGGGCCACAAGGTTTCCAAACGACCCTCCACAGAGAGAGAGAGAGAGAGAGAGAGAGAGAGAGAGAGAGAGAGAGAGAGAGAGAGATGACTTGTGGCTTCGTGCTCCTCGACGACCCCAATAGTTCCGGCTACCCAATTTCACTCGAAAAGCTTGGATCA